GCAGAAACATGAGTACAGTATTAACTCTACCTTTATTCTAAGGTTACAGTAACAGAATCTTACAAGACTGAAAGTATTTCCCTCCGTCTTTACTTTAACTCTCTGGAAAACCAGGGAGAATCCTTTCTGAAATGCTTCCCATGCTACCTCTCCTTCTGTGGGCTGAGAAATATTTTACATGCCGGTTGTCCAGACTGTGGCTCTTTCACAACATGCTTTACATGAGCTGCTTTAAAGACTACTTGGAAATTACAAGTGGTCCAGAACACAGCAGCCCCTATGTTAACAGGCTCCTGATGCTGGGAGTATGTAACACCAATGCTATGGTCTATGCATTGATTATCAGTTCAGTTCTAAGTACAATGTAAAGTCCTGATTTTAACTTATAAAGCCTTTCATAACTTAATGGGCATACTTACAGGACTGCCTCTTCCAACCTGTATCAACCTAACTGACTAGAGCAATTAGGAAAAAATCCTTATGGTTCCACACATCTGGAGATGAGAAGAGATAAAGGCTAGAAGGAATTAGTAGTATTTTGTGCCAGTATTTTGGAAGGATCATTTTCCAAAGAACAGGATTGTCTTTTTTTGTTGTTGTTGAACGGCTTTCTGAATGCTATTGAAAACTCAGGGTTTTTTGGAAAGCATTCCAGCGATTTTCACCTACTGCCCCAATCCTATTGTCATAGGGCCATGTAGAGCCATGAAAACTTGGTTTTTAGTCTATTGTCATAATAGATGAACCCATTCTATGATGAGAGTGTATGTTGTTATTGCCAGCTTCAATTATGTGTTGCTTATATGTTGTTTTTACCTGCTTATTTTGGTTGTGTATATTATTTTTAAATTTTTGAATTTTTTTCCCGCCTTTTATTGTTGTGTGCCATCCAGAGCTACAGATTGTGAGGGGGATTACAAACCTGTGAAATAAATAATTTTTTTAACTTCCTGTTTTTACTATTTTGCTATGTATGCTCTCTTTTACTCTCTCCTCACTTTATGTTGTTTATATTTTAATTTTAATGTGGATGGTTTAATTTTTTTTTCTTTTCATATCTGGTATACTGTTGGGAGTTGTGTGATTGCTGCAGAATATCAATTCAATCAATTCAATAAATAAATAGTCTTTTAATTTAAAAATAACAACAGCCAAGAAATGTTGCTGATCAGCTGCTACATAGTCCATTAGGATACTGAGCGAGAAGAATTGTCTAAATTACAGTGAAAAATAAAAGGGAAGAGAGGAGAGTGGCTGTGGTTATAGGAAGAGATAGGAACTGTGGGCATTCCCTAACTTCAGGAATGTTTGTGTTTGGGATGGAACTTGCCTGGAATTTTCTCACTTGAGAAATATTTGCAAATTCTGAACTGACTATATTGCCAGTTTTACTGAGATATACTATATTTGTTATTTTTCCATCATTTGAAACCATACTTCCCTTCTGATAAATTCTTTTCTATTTTAAAAATGAAATAATTTTCCTTACAATAGCTCTGACAATTAGTGAATACAGTGGTACCTCGGGATACGAACGCCTCTACTAACGAACTTTTCAGGTTACGACCAG